GAATTGATGTGGTCGAAGAATTGGTCTAGAGCAGGCCGGCCATGTGGCCAGATGACAAAAGTGTCATCCACATACCTCTTCCATAAGGTTGGGCGCAGAGTGGCAGTCTGGATGGCGTCAGTCTCAAATTTCTCCATGAAAATGTTAGCTATAACTGGAGAAAGGGGGGAGCCCATTGGGGTGCCCTCAGTTTGTTTGTAGAAAGTTCCATTCCAAGTGAAGTATGTAATCATTGGAAAGATTTGATAAATCATTTCAGTTCTTGATTGATTGTTCACGCTTACAGTGGCTTTCAGACAGCATACATAAAAACAAATTTCGTCTCCCCCCTCCTCTTTTCAAAAAATAGATGGACTAGTCCTGGGCAAACTGCCAATCGTTGCGCGTGACGCAAACGTTATTTTTATATATATAAATAAATATGCCGTTTTCAAAATAAATTTATGCAAACCGACACACCTGATGATGACCGTTTGAGTTATGGTCGAAACGTCGTGAGAATTTTTTTATTGTTTTATATATATTTTGTTATTTTGTTGTTTCTCTTCAACGTGACTTTACCGAAAAAACTAAGAATATGAAGGTGACAACAGTTGGTGCGATTTTTCGCAAATGGAAGAAACACAAAAGAACTGTCAATCTCCCTCGGCCTGGGGCTCCATGGAAGATCTCACCTCGTGGAGTTGCAATGATCATGAGAACGGTGAGGAATCAGCCCAGAACTACACGGGAGGATCGTGTCAGTGATCTCCAGGCAGCTGGGACCATAGTCACCAAGAAAACAATTGGTAACACACTATGCCGTGAAGGACTGAAATCCTGCAGCACCCGCAAGGTCCCCCTGCTCAAGAAAGCACATATACATGCCCGTCTGAAGTTTGCCAATGAACATCTGAATGATTCAGAGGACAACTGGGTGAAAGTGTTTTGGTCAGATGAGACCAAAATTAAGCTCTTTGGCATCAACTCAACTCGCCGCGTTTGGAGGAGGAATGCTGCCTATGACCCCAAGAACATCATCCCCACCATTAAACATGGAGGTGGAAACATTATGCTTTGGAGGTGTTTTTCTGCTAAGGGGACAGGACAACTTCACCGCATCAAAGGGACGATGGACGGGGCCATGTACCGTCAAATCTTGGGTGAGAACCTCCTTCCCTCAGCCAGGGCATTGAAAATGGGTCGTGGATGGGTATTCCAGCATGACAATGACCCAAAACACACGGCCAAGGCAACAAAGGAGTGGCTCAAGAAGAAGCACATTAAGGTCCTGGAGTGGCCTAGCCAGTCTACAGACCTTAATCCCATATAAAATCTGTGGAGGTAGCTGAAGGATCGAGTTGCCAAACGTCAGCCTCGAAACCTTAATGACTTGGAGAAAATCTGCAGAGGAGTGGGACAAAATCCCTCCTGAGATGTGTGCAAACCTGGTGGCCAACTACAAGAAACGTCTGACCTCTGTGATTGCCAACAAGGGTTTTGCCACCAAGTACTAAGTCATGTTTTGCAGAGGGGTCAAATACTTATTTCCCTCATTAAAATGCAAATCAATTTATAACATTTTTGACATGCGTTTTTCTGGATTTTGTTGTTGTTATTCTGTCTCTCACTGTTCAAATAAACCTACCATTAAAATTATAGACTGACCATTTCTTTGTCAGTGGGCAAACGTACAAAATCAGCAGGGGATCAAATACTTTTTTCCCTCACTGTAGCTCCACACTCAAACAAGATTCAGACAATGTTCTTCTCCACTGGCAGCCCTGAGATGTGGAGAACAATTCCAAATTCCATTGGCAAAGACCAGTCTCCATAAAACAATGACGACTGACTTCCCTTATAATGGTGGACAGAACACATGTTTGTATATTGGCCCCGTTGCTCTGTTTGGGTCTAAATTCACAGACAATGAGGCTGATGTGGAGGCAGTATCATGCCAGGTTCGTTCATAACATTACACATACAATCCCCAAGCAGTGCTACATACAATCCGAAATGTTAAGAATATTGTGTTGCCACACTGCAAAATATCACCCATTTCGCCAAATGGGCTGGCAGGGAATGTGCTGTTAGTTGGCACTTGGCATGGCGATCTTGGCACAAAGAGGTGACTGTGTGGCCAGAACCATGCATGCTCGGCTAACTTGGTCTCAGAATTGCTGATGCTGACCACACTGCACCAGGTACTTGTTTCAGGTGTAATCATTCCAGGTGCAGACATAAGTTGTCTCTCATGTTGTTCATGGACGAAAATTTAAGCAAGTATGAAGAGATATTAGCAGATTTTGCTATAACTACACAGTTGCTCCCTCTCCTATTCTTCCCCACACAAACACAAAGATCCCCCATATAGCCTTAACAAACTGTAAGGGCAAGTGCTGTTAGCATGCACTTATGAAGGCTGGCATGGCACATGAGGGAGTAGGTGGCCAGCACCATGCCCAACCGCCTTTGTCTCCCTAGTGGCGATGTTTACACACCGCCCAGGACCCGTTCAGATAAGTCACTGCTGTTGACGGTGAGCTGGAATCGTAGTGCTAACCACTACACTACCGCTCCGCCCACACACACAGAGCCTCGCACACTTAACACACTTAAAGGACCACCATGGCTAGAAACAAAATCCCTTCATCAATTGCATTGTGCAAAGAAAATGTTGGGTCACGAATTATGTTCGCACCAAAAGAAACACATTTCAAAAACATGCTGCCATACCGTTGTAAGCTGTTTTCTCAAAAGAAAGGGTGTGCAGAGGCAATAGCAGCAGGTGATGGCTATTTATCACATGTAGCGACCAGTGACGTGTGGTGAGGTCAATGGCTGGGGAGGCACTGGCTAGTGTCAGAGCCAGATTCACGCACTGAGGGGGGCGTGGCCTCACTGAGGGGGGCGTGTTAGACACGTCCCCCTCAGTGAGGCAGATGTGATAGCTGCCTCCCCTGGTGCTTTTTCATTGCAGTTTCATGACGAGACCAGCGAGCCTAAATATCTGTATACACGTACGTGAAATAAGTTACCTGGAGTATGGAAGGCGAGGACATGAAATGAAGGGGTCTACAAACATTACATTGGTGACATACTGAGATAGTAACAGGCACATGCTTATTGCCCGCGCTCCATCCAGTTACTGAGGGGTTGCGCAATCAGAGGGGAGGCTGAGCTCGTCGCTGCCTCACCTCTCATCTCTTCCTGTATTTGCAGCGGAGCTCTGCACATTTGGCGATTTTGACTATAAACATTTCTTGGAATCGTAGAGAAATGACATTTATAACAGATCAGTGGAAAAATCTTAATATTTATTTGATTATTCTTTTTTTAACTTTTAGTAACAGCTATTTCCATTGGAGTATGACAGGTGAGGCTCTGCCTCCCCTGCCTCCCCTGCCCGCACGTCCCTGGTAGTGACCCCATCCACTCCACGAGGTGCTTGGGGAGGGGAAGGAATGAAGACTTTCTTTGGTATTTTTTTTTCCTACAACATCTTACTCCTAAGTGGGATGTCTTAACATTTTAAGCAATTCATATATGTAAACATGCAAAAAAGCTACCAAAACGGTCAATTTGTCCTTTACAAATAGTCAAAGTAACAAACAAAGTGAATGTTTTAAGTAGCCGGTGTTCATCTTTGTTGGCAGCACTCAGACAGTGGTGTAAATTAAACATTTAAATGGTGCAAACCGTTCTCCCCATAGAAAACCCTTTGTGATTCATTTAAAGTGGTCCTAATTGTATCTATACAAGGGAAATAATGGGTTTAATGAACTTCTAACCAAGATTTAAAATCGCAACAAGCATTGCAACATTTTCAATGCTTTTGAAATTCATTTTGTATCTTAATATGTATGAAATGCTCTTGGTATATTTTATTTGACCATAATTAGTATAAAATTCTAGCATCTACATATCACGTACCCTCCTGGTTGGTATTGTAAAACAATTAAAATGTTTTTCCTCACATTTGAAGAACCAATCATTGTAGAGAAAGGAAACATTTCACTTAAACTGCTTTACGTATTTGGTAACAGGACTCTCATAAAAAAAGTAATGTCTCTGTTACAAGACTTCCAGGATAAACTTGAATTCATACAGATGTAAATTAATAAACACATGTACTAAGACACCAACACGTGTTTTGTCACCACCATAAATGCTGTACTCTGGTGAAATAATAAAATACAAAGACAATGCAATGCCCTACGTGTAGATATACTAAACATAGGTACTAGTTAACGTTGACACCCATAAAACAATCGCAGCTCTTTTTTTTATTCCTGATCTCTATACAGTATTTCATTTAAAAAAAATTGCACAAACAGCAAATGGTCACATCTTGTCAAGTGCCTCAGAAGATCGCAACACACAAGCGACAACTGCTTATGCGGTCACTTCCACCTTTCTCGCCAGGTGCTAGACGGCGCTTCTTTGCACCCTTATGAAGCAATGGTGGACAACCTACGGCCTGCAGGCTACATACGGTCCATGGAGCCCCTCCTGGTGGCCTGGTCTAAGCGTTGTCTATGGTGATGCGTGGGGTCATGATTAGCGCACAAACACGGTATCAAGCTTGCAGCCTACCGAGGTGAAGGAGGGCCGCTCAGGTGGCTCATGAACTCGTCTAGGTTGCCCATCGCTGCTATAAAGCACGTGTTTTTTTTGTGTGTGTGTCAACCAACAACAAAAATGTAACCATATATTTTTTTATCATGGTACATTAGATCAGTGGATACACTACTCCCATTGGTTGCTACAGCTGAGGCCATCAACTCACTTCACATGAGAAACCAGTTAAATCGTGGGTGGTTGAAACCTGAATTCAGGCCTTTGATCTCAGCCGAGCTTGCTCAATCGCTTTCACATGGCCATTGCAAGTACGATGAACCACCTCTAGGTTGCTTTTCTGTATGGTAAAAGATTGTGGGTCAGCTTTAAGCTCCTGGTGCTACAGCCTAGCTTCGACATAACTTAGGCTGCTGGGCCCTGCAGCATACTCTGCCACTCACCAGCCTCTTGATGATGCGCAGGAGCAGCTTCTGCTGTTTGGGGTGTGGAGCGGTGGCTTGCAGAGCGGTGGCGAGGTGTGCGGCGCTCTCGGGACCCGTGCAGTCGGCATCCTCCGCACCGTACAGCTGCACTACCAGCGACAGGCAGCTCATAGCGCGCTCCCCCACCTCACTCTCCTCCACGCACAGCTGGCAAAGACAAACAGGGGTGGAAGCATGTAGTTTTTGTTTTTGTATGTGTCTCTAAAGTGGGGTGCGGTAGTTTGGCAGTTAACGCGCTGCGTCCCGCTCATGGACAACACCAGTGGCGATTATCGGAATCGGTTCTAAGCCTCCCCTAGGTCGACTCAGTAGGGGGTACAGGTGGTGCATCTGCCAGTCATATTAGTAGGTTTGACACTTCACGTGGCCTTAAAGTGCAAATAGCCTGAGACAAGCGCCATGGTGACATCACCACCACTTTGACGAATGGCGATTGTTGTGTATTTGTGGAGAGTGGTAGTGCAACAGTTAGCGCGCTGCACTACGAAACTGGCCACACCAGTTCGATTCCCGCTCATGGCCAACACCAGTGACGATTATCTGAATCGGTCCTGGGCTTCTCCTAGGTCGACTCAGCCTCAAATGAGTACCGAGTGCAGTGTGTAACCATCGCTGCTAGAGAGACAAAGGCAGCCGGGCGTGGTGCTGGCCACCTACCCCCTCGTGTGCTGTGCCAGCTTTCATAGGTGCTCGCTAACAGCACTTGCCCCAACAGTCTCTTGTAAGGCTATACAGGGGATCTTTGTCTTTGTTGTAAAGTGGAGGCACAGTGGTTCACAAGCTGAAATTAGGACCCCCTGTGACCTCGGTAAATTTCCTGGCTATGCATAACCTGTTCTAATTCACTCTGAGTTAAGTTGACTCAGTGTGATGTTTCAACATCACTGTTGGGAAGAATAAGGCCAAACTACCATCTGAAGTGCACTGCACTTATAATCACCACGACCTGGATTAAATTTGTGGTTGTTAACAGCTGGGCATTAAATTAAAAGTCACCAGAATAACATTACAGTGAGTGAACTACTGATGTGTTGTGCATGGTAGTATAGTGGTTGGAGAGGTTAGATTCACAACCATGAAACTCACTGCTGGAAACTGGTATTTTAACCTCGTCTAGTCTAATAGTAACAGGGCCATGAAAGTTTTTGCAGACGATTCATAGCAGTATGGAGGCAAGCCCACAGTGGAATAATGCAATACATTTCGGGAAAAAGATGGTAATACTGCAAGTGGTCAGAAGCACAATGCCAGCAGATTAATAGTGTGTGAATGGCAGGATACTCGTTAGAATAAGCTGCTTTCATTATTTAAGTACTAAATATGCAGGGAATCTTGCTTCTATCAATTGATTATGGTCCTGCCTATTATTCACAACAGCATGTTCTGATTAGTGATACATTGTTTACATGAGGTCCAACGCATAGTTTGTCAATAAAATGGAATATCTTTGCAGTATGCAGTTACGTGAAATGGGTATAATGCACCATATTCAATGGTGTAATTGCGCAGTGTGGTGTGAATAGCACAAAGCTACAAGTAAAAAATAGAGTGCTCTACAATATATTTCAATATTCATGCAATATTATGCAGTTTAGAGTTATGAATGAAATGTACTGATATGCAATGCATAGCAATGCAAGTTGTGCATTGTTATGGGGCACAGTATGGTATTGTGCAGTGTGCTTATTTAATTACATATTGTACATCAAAACCTTGTCCATTACGAATTTGACTATTCGCGCAAAAGTTATTGAAGTACAGTTGGCCAATCGCGCCCCTGTGGCTCGACCTGTATGCACTGTAACTACACTGCTCGCTCTGATGCTGCCGCGGAAGAACACACAAGCTGTCTTGTCTCCTGTAAAAACCCATTGTGGATTCCAGCCTCCACTACGGAAGTAAGTTTCAGCCGCAAGATTTTTCTTACTTTATCAATGCCCTTATTGGTTACTTTGCAAATGGCCCCTTAAAGAAAATGAAGTGGAAGTAAATCTAGTGATACAAAATCAGAGGAAGGTGATGTTTCTGAGCGAATTGAATGACTAGATAGACTTGCTGCATCAATAACCTCGTCTTTATTTTCAGGTTTATTTTTACGCATACGTGTCCAGTACACGTTATTCATTCTTTACGTGTACAAGTTATATTTAACAAGATACAAAATATTAATCATATTTCCATTTAAATACTTCCGGTTTCATGTTTGGGTTGATGTAGGGTAGCATAAAACAAAAGGAGGGGGTGTTGTATGACGAACCGTGGACCAAACCCTATTATTCCCCATTTGCCTTCGATTTTGCAGATCGTGGATTTGCCGATTGCGGCTATTTTCAAGAACGTAACCCCTGCGATGGGCGAGGGTTTGGTGTATGCTATAGTTTGTGCCTTACAATGACAGTGTCATGCTGTTGACGTGGACACGGAATGTTGAGGTCATGGACTGCTCTCAACAGTGGCAGCGTGCTCAGGATAGGCTCGCCGGGCAGCATCTCATGGGGACCGCTATGCTCCAGCCAGGGGCAAGCAACTAATGATGACAGTCATGCTGTGCTCCACTATGTACCATATGCAGTGTATTTAAAACATAGTACATTTATGTGCAGCGTTCTGCATGAGATTGCCTACGCCAAATGAAAAGAAAACCAATACATTCGTCAATTGACTATGCCAAATGGAAATTTTGCCATTAAAAAATGTCTGCAGTTAATTACCAAATTGCAGTATTATGTGAAGTGGATGTTAAATGCCCTGTTACATCAGACTCTACCGCATCAAACTTTGCAAAAGTAGGCCACTGTATGTTGTTGTCTTGGCCCAAATTACAAAATGACCTGACAAAAGAGTGAAAAAAAATACTTTTCTTACATAACTAAGGTCATTTGGCTCTCTAATGAAAACAGAGACAAGTAATAAATTTCGCTCGACTGTCACCTGATTCGAGGACATCAATGATTCAATAATATTGGTGCGTGCTGCACTGCGATGCAGTGCATATACAATGCAAGCCGGTTTATTGTTATGAAATGCAGAGCGTGCTTGAAGGACGCGCTGCACACACCAGCTGTATGAAGGTGCAGGTCAGCTGAGTGAACGGCTTGTTCACAAGTAGCATGTCCTCTGCAACCTGCGTGCTGCGCGAATCCCCCAACTTCTGTTGCTGTGGAGACACGTGACACACACGTAGATGTACACACACACATAGCAACATAAATAACCTGCTAAGCCTGCAACAGACTGCTGGGACCAGTGTTCTTGGTGAGTCCCGATTAAAGCAGCAACAGCGTATGCGAGGGTGGTGTGACTACAAGAATGGATGCCTAGCCATCTTTGCTAATATTTTAGGCAATACACCAGGTATTAATGTTAAGGCTCAACCAAACTACAGGAGAAACCTTGCCACTAATGTTGTACATGCCCAGGAATTACACACAGGCCATCATGATCACAGTGCAGCGAAAACCACTACACAAATTTTGCCCATTAACACCAAATACAATGATCTCCCATTCAGCCCTATAGATCATAGGGGAGAGTGGTGCTTCTGAATGCCTACGAAGGCTGGCATGCCAAAAGAGGGAGTAGGTGGCCAGCACAACATAGACAAAGATCCTCTGAGTAGCCTTAACAGATTGTTGAGGCAAAGGCTGTTAGTGAGCACCTATGAAGGTCGGCACGGCACACGAGGGGGTGGGTGGCCAGCAACACATCCAGCCACCTTTGCCTCCCTTGTGGCGATGATTACACACCACACCAGGTACTCATTTCATGATGAATTGTTCTTGGGGAGGCCCAGGACCGGTTCAGACAATCGTCACAGGTGTTGGTCACCGGATGCAAAGCGTTAGTCTGCTAACTACTGTACTACACACACAAAGATCCAAAGATCCCCCATATAGCCTTAACAGACTGTAGGGGCAAGTGCTGTTAGCGAGCACCTATGAAGGCCGGAACGGTACACGAGGGGGTGGGTGGCCAGCACCACGCCCGACCGCCTTTGTCTCCCTAGTGGCAATGTTTACACACCGCACCAGGTACTCATTTGAGGCTGAGTCGACCTAGGGGAGGCCCGGGACCGGTTCAGATAATCGTCACTGGTGTTGGCCGTGAGCGGGAATCGAACCCGGGTCGCCAGGTTCATAGCGCAGCGCGCTAACCGCTACACACACTTAAGCACACACATACACATCATTCCCATTAGGCTTATTACTGCTTGCATTTAAATAATTCCTCAAGCCTGACTGACATCAAATGCCTCGAGTGCACCATGACTGCTGATTGAGCACGGGGCTCTTGTTGCGGAGAGTGCACCGGTGGTGCTTGAGCAATGGGGAGGGGGCTGGCACCTGCAGCGCACGCCGCACCATATCCGCCGTGCGTCTCAGCAGCTCTTGCAGCATCTCCAGCAGTACAAACAGCAGCGGAGAGGCCGGCCTGCTGGTGCTCTCCCCCTCCAGTACCAGCACACCGGCGTCCATGCACGCAGGCACCAAGCGCTCCACCAGGCCTGACGGTGGGGGCGGTTACGGCAAAGCCATCGGCAGGCTGCGGGTGGTGAAGCGCGGCAGGTGGTGGCTCAGTGGGACCGACGAAATCTGTGGTTAAGAGCAGTAACAATCTGGTGTGCAGTTTTAGCCTACCTTGCTGATAGAGTGCGGTCATGTTGGTGTCCTTATTGGCAACCAGATTGCCCAATAAGCACACCACGTTGTACATGCTGCTTCCCAGCATGCTCTCCTGGTGCTCCTGCAGCAGTGAGCAATGACAAAAGTCAACTGCGTGTTTAATGATGTTGAAGAAGCAAACGGTACAGATGAAGATGCTTTGACACGACATGAAGAGGGGATACAAGAGAAGGGGAGGTGACCAGGTGACTCAACTGGCTCAAAATACGCATGAGCCATCACCGATGCTGAGTTCCTGTGTTCAAATGCAGGTCTCACCAATATGTGATTAAACCAGGTTCTTTCATATAGTAAGATTATGGTCTCAGTAGTCATTTTCATATGTAGATGAAAACGCTGAATTAAAGGTTGTATGAAACGCATTTAGGTGATAACTTAAATGAGAAACACGTTCCCATTTTTGCAAAGGAAATGTTTACTCTGGTTGCAAATGTTATTGTTCATAACCTGCATATTTTTAAACGGCTAATTATCATTTTGCTTAGTACACGGTTGAACATCCACCATCTCCCCACGTGTTTAACATTACGTTAACTCTGATCAATGTGTGGAATACATTACACCTTATTAGCATCGCCAGAACCTCAAAGTGTGCGATGATGATGTAAAAATATAATTAATGTATGACAAGAGGACATTTCGTACCAAGGAAAATGCTAAAAAGTGAATAATTACTGAACAGTGAATAATAATGACTGACACAGCAGAAAATCTTCAATTCCAAACACCTGTTTAAGGTCCAATTCACATTCCACAGAGATAATGCAGACTGTGTATCTGTAGAGCAGGGGCATTTAATTAAATTGAATTAACTTTTGTTTCAAATATACTTCACGGGATTGGAAGTTTAGCTGTGCACACAAAAATAAACGTTGGCTGTATCCATTGGTGCTTAAAATTCCTCAATGCCCTGACAATAGTGTAACCCACGCTACCACATTACCTGCAGATTAGGGATGGCCATAATCGGGGAACGCGCAATTTGTGGCAGTACTTGAAACTCGTAATTTAAAATGTGCGAAAAAATATCTAATTTAAAAACAAAACAAAATTCCACGCTCTGCGTTAACATGTTTTTTTTATAGCTACTTATCGCCATTCAGCAGGGCCAATTTTCTGCTGTGGACTGCATAAACATAGCTCTAAATGCATTAATAGGCAGAACTGCGGATGGATCAACACAGCAGGGGTCCTGAGACAATCCCTGCTTCATGAATTCTGAACGGCAAGCAAGGTACTTATCTGCTCACAGCAGACAGCTGCAATAGCTGGGCTCGCATAAGTGCAGATGAGCTGCAGTGAGGGAAAAAAGTATTTGATCCCCTGCTGATTTTGTACGTTTGCCCACTGACAAAGAAATGATCAGTCAATAATTTTAATGGTAGGTTTATTTGAACAGTGACAGACAGAATAACTACAACAAAATTCAGAAAAACGCATGTCAAAAATGTTATGAATTGATTTGCATTTTAATGAGGGAAATAAGTATTTGACCCCTCTGCAAAACATGACTTAGTACTTGGTGGCAAAACCCTTGTTGGCAATCACAGAGGTCAGACGTTTCTTGTAGTTGGCCAACAGGTTTGCACACATCTCAGGAGGGATTTTGTCCCACTCCTCTTTGCAGATCTTCTCCAAGTCATTAAGGTTTCGAGGCTGACGTTTGGCAACTCGAACCTTCAGCTCCCTCCACAGATTTTCTATGGGATTAAGTTCTCGAGACTGGCTAGGCCACTCCAGGACCTTAATGTGCTTCTTCTTGAGCCACTGCTTTGTTGCCTTGGCCGTGTGTTTTGGGTCATTGTCATGCTGGAATACCCATCCACGACCCATTTTCAATGCCCTGGCTGAGGGAAGGAGGTTCTCACCCAAGATTTGACGGTACATGGTTCCGTCCATCGTCCCTTTGATGCGGTGAAGTTGTCCTGTCCCCTTAGCAGAAAAAACCCCCCAAAGCATGTTTCCACCTCCATGTTTGACGGTGGGGATGGTGTTCTTGGGGTCATAGGCAGCATTCCTCCTCCTCCAAACACGGCGAGTTGAGTTGATGCCAAAGAGCTCTATTTTGGTCTCATCTGACCACAACACTTTCAGCCAGTTGTCCTCTGAATCATTCAGATGTTCAGTGGCAAACTTCAGACGGGCATGTATATGTGCTTTCTTGAGCAGGGGGACTTTGCGGGTGCTGCAGGATTTCAGTCCTTCACGGTGTAGTCTGTTACCAATTGTTTTCTTGGTGACTATGGTCCCAGCTGCCTTGAGATCATTGACAAGATCCTCCCGTGTAGTTCGGGGCTGATTCCTCACCGTTCTCATTATCATTGTAACTCCACAAGGTGAGATCTTGCATGGAGACCCAGGCCGAGGGAGATTGACAGTTCTTTTGTGTTTCTTCCATTTGCGAATAATCGCACCAACTGTTGTCACCTTCTCACCAAGCTGCTTGGCAATGGCCTTGTAGCCCATTCCAGCCTTGTGTAGGTCTACAATCTTGTCCCTGACATCCTTGGAGAGCTCTTTTGTCTTGGCCATGGTGGAGAGTTTGGAATCTCATTGATTGATTGCTTCTGTGGACAGGTGTCTTTTATACAGGTAACAAGCTGAGATTAGGAGCACTCCCTCTAAGAGTGTGCTCCTAATCTCAGCTCGTTAACTGTATAAAAGACACTTGGGAGCCAGAAATCTTTCTGATTGAGAGGGGGTCAAATACTTATTTCCCTCATTAAAATGCAAATCATTTTTTTACATTTTTGACATGCGTTTTTCTGGATTTTTTTAGTTGTTATTCTGTCTCTCACTGTTCAAATAAACCTACCATTAAAATTATAGATTGATAATTTCTTTGGCACTGGGCAAACGTACAAAATCAGCAGGGGATCATATACTTTTTTCCCTCGCTGTAAGCGCTTATGCATTGGCCCTGTGTGCAATGCCTTCGACTGCACTATTTGCTAATTGCACCTCCGATTCACACGGTTGGCTATGTACCGTGTGAAAGAAGTTCAACATACACACATACATATAAAAATCTGCTTTTAATTCAAGTTGGAACCTGAACATCAATGCCAAGGCTTGTGAGGTAAATTTTACATAAACTAAAACAGTATTAATGTAGACATATGATAAACGGATAGCTAATGTAAAGCAGCAGAGGAATAATTTGTACATTTGTGTACAGGTATACATTTGTACACTTGGGGGCATGATGACCTGGGGGCTAAGTACAGAAAATATTCGTAAAAGCCACCAGGTTGCCAAACTGTGTAGGCTGCCAAACGGTGTAGGTGAAAATGCAGAGTATTTGGTCACGCCCTCTTGAGATCTAAAAAATGGGCGTACGTCAGTGGTTGCTAGGGATTATGTCATCACTCCAACTATACCAGTCAATCAGCTGCCAGGGAAACAACCCTGCCGCAACATGACCACAGTGAAGTCCCCATGCACTCCATGCATTTATCCGACCTGTGGCTTTACATTGTTTTTAAAAAGTCATTTAGGTGTAAAGTTGTGGTCATTTATTTATGTGAATGTAGATGAGTGTGTGCAATTGTTTGAGTATGTTGCTTTGTGTGATAACTTCTTTATGTGCAGCCTTACTAGGTGCTCATGAAGAGTGTTAAAAGGCTATATATATGGTGGATCTTTGTCCTTATTTATGAAAGTGTGTGTGCATGGGGAGAGTATTTATATGTGATTGTGCACACGTGTGTGTTTGTCTTTGTATTTGTGAGGAGTGGTAGTGTAGCAGTTAGTGCGTGGCGCTACGAACCCGGGGACCCAAGTTAGACTCCCGCTCAAGGCCAACACCAGTGACGATTATCTGAACTGTTCATGAGCCTTCCCTTGGTCGACTCAGTTTCATATGAGTACCTGGTGTGGTGTGTAATCATCACCACCGTAACGGAACATCTTCGCTGGTTAGAAACATTTAGGCTTGACTGCCTATGATCCATCCTGAGCTTAATTAGGCTGGATTGTGTGAGTTCACAAACGCTTGAAAGATCTGGACACAGTCCCATCAATGAACTCCTCCCGCAGGCAAGGCTGCTATTTCTGGGACACTATTTTTTCCAGGGGTGTACTTAACTCCGTGACTGGGGTACCAATCAGTCCAAAATCGGTGCTACTCCGTGATGTGGAAACGCCAAACATTAGCATAAGAAATCCGTTATCGAAAAATTCAACTTTTAATAGTGCATCGTGTACAGCTCGCCGAGATCAGTCGATTGCTGCATCGCCGACCATTAACAGACTAAAAATGACTGCATCACGGACATTATGCGAGAGCCGGGGTACTATGGTACCCCGGGGCACCGCCATGAGGTTAAAATGTCGCCACTGGGGAGACAAAGCGGCCAGGCGTTGTGCTGCCCACTCACCCCCTCATGTGCTGTGCCGGCCTTCATAAGTGCTTGCTAAGACAATTTGCCCCAACAGTATGTTAAGACTATATGGGGGATCTTTTTGTATTTGTGATGGTGCATGTGTGTGCACATAAGTAATGACGAATTTGAAGGTGGTCCCCACCGTCCCTAAGTTTTCACGGAATGTACACAATTTCTCTCGCGTAAATCCAGTAAGGAATCAAGAGGTAGGACAAGTCTGAGCTTAAGCATGTTTTTTTTTAATTGCGTCAGTCGTTTGTAATCAGGCAGCTAGAAGAAGCTGTTTTAACTCTTCACGATCTCAAACTAAACATGACTAGACAAGCCTGTTGACAAACTATTACTCTTGGATTTTTGCAACACTTGTGCTGTCAGCTTTGCTTTGTAATGCTATAAATATCGTATATTAAACTTCCTTTACATTTGAATCATTGTTATCCTGAAGAAAATGCCGTCCAATGCTTAAATGCCTTAAACTATATATTTAAATGTGAGCTACATATTGACTAATATTAATTAAAATATGAGATCTGTTTGTAAAAACTGAGATAAACCCAACACAACCAATCCTCAAAATATGTATTGCACATTGACATTCTACATGGTGGTGAGTGGGTACACACTAATCTCCATTCACAAACGAAGTGTGCTCAGAGTCACGTGCCTGTTTGCAATT